GTTGGATGGCTAGAGTTTGCTAACATGGGTCCCACCTACACCTAAAGGCTACAGAGATTAGTAGTGGCAGAGCAGAAAACAGCATGTGGACTTCATTCCGTTTTGAATTTCTGAAAGACCTGGACTGCCTGTTTTTCCCCAGCACAAATAGGATAATTGCTACAAGGTAAACATGATAAATGAAAAGGTTGTGCAGAGCCAGCCCACTTGCCCTTCTTCCTTCCATGCCCTTTGCTAGAACCCTACAAAGATATAGCTCGTGCTTGTGCTTAAGGAAGCAAATGCTGAAAGGTACCTGCAAGTTTGATACGACTCATCTGTTAAACCCTGAGATCTTGCACTGTTTGTTCGGTCACATCCCATCCTGCCAGCTACTGCAGGGTGCTAAAGGGATTCTCAGTGGGAATTGCGGTTGCTCAGTACCTCCATAGAGCTGGCATGTAAGTCCTGCCTGGACTTCTCTGATGGGAAAAGCAGAGCCAGCCATCAGTCATGCAGGGTGTGCTTCCCTCTGCTCTGTGAGCTGGCCTGGTGAAAATTCCTGGTGCTCATTAAAAGCATCATCTGATGTCACTCAACACCACGGGGGAAAATATAAATCAAGGAGTAAGTATTCAGCACTCTCTCAGCGTTGGCCTAATGTGATTCACGTAATCTGAGGGAAAGACTTCAGTTATTCCTTTTTACTGTTAGAGGTCCAAATCAAGGGCTGGGACTTGTTATTCTAGGTAGTGTGGAAACAAGTGCTACCCACGAGATCGTCACAACTCAGATCAAGTTCCAGTAGCAGCTTCACTGCAGTTACTTTACAGCTCTGAGCACACACTACCGAGCGTTGAGTCCAAAACCCCAGGAAAGCAAGTGGGCAGGGCTGGGACCTGTGTGACTCAGTGCACAAACAACACCAAAGTGTCACAGGTGTGAAAACACAAACCTAAAAGGCAGGGAATGGCCCCGCTGCCAGCTCCGTGCTGGCCTCACACCTGACCGGGCCTGCTGTTGGGTTGTTGCTCTTGGAAGGGCAGATGGAGGTGTTGCAGGCTGGCAGCCTGCTGAGCCCACTGAGGTGCGGGGAGAAGGCGTTCTTCAACCAGCCAGATCCGATGGGAACGTGCTGGGCTCTGGCGGTGTTGTGCTGACACAGGGAGATGTCATCTCCGTAGAATATGAAGGAGTTAACGCATGATGAAACATGGCCTTGTCAGTGGTGTAGACAAAGATTGTTTTGTTTGAAATGCAGCACCAGCAATGCTGGTTAGCGAGGTAATACGGCCACCTTTCCCATCCAAGTTGTTATGTCTTCTAATGTGCTAGGTGCCATGAAACAGCCTACCTAACGTGAAGCCCATAGATTGTTCTTCGCTTCAACATTGAGCTTAGTTTGGTGGGTATTTCTGGATAATGGCTTGACAGAATAGCAAGTGGAGGTGATAAGGAAAGCCCATCCTGCACAAGAGGACAAATGCCAAGATAGGGATGGTTTTAAGTTTAAAAAGTTTGGAAAAAAAGTATAGAATTGCAGAAGATGACTTTTTAGGTTCCTGCCAGCCCTACTCCTTTGTGAGGTGAAGGCAGTGAGGGGTTTGTCCCATGCTTGCTCACATAAACTGCTGAGGCTCAGTGTGCACAACTGCATAAGCAGTTTCAAAACCACTTTTAGCCAGTCAAGGCACTCCGGGTGTCCTTCCAAAAATAAAAGGCAAAATTTTCAACACCACGGAGGACTAATAAACCACCCACGCTCCTGCATCTGCTGAGATGTAGGGAGCACAGAATCCCTTACGCCTCTGAAAGTCTTGCCACGTATTCACTTCTGATATCTGACTCTGTAATCTGGGCTGGAACGCTTCAGCTGAAAGGTTTGCACTCAGCACTTCCCGGTCTGAGAGTCACATCGCTGCGGTCGGCGCTCAGTCAGCTCCAGCCTTTCCAGCTGAGCATTGGCCCCACAGGCCCCACTCTGTGCAATGCTTTGGCACAAGCCTGGGAAAACCCTTCTCATGGCACTGCTGAACTCATTTCTGAGCCCTGTGTGTTGCTGTGAGTAGGAGAGCTGCCTTGCTTTGCAGATACAAAAGTAAGCCAAAGATGAGTGAGTATTTAAAATATTAAAGCAAATTCTCAGGAAGTATTTCATTGGAACAAATATGGTGATGCCAGCCTAGAGCACCTGAGGATCCAGGTCTAAAAAGGGAACTCAGAAATCCAATGAGACACAAATGAAAAAAATAGGGAGCTGCGTGTTCATCCCTCCGTTCTGCTTTGTCTATTGGTGTCACAGCACTCAAGCAGAGAGTAACTGAATGAAGCTTAGCAGCCCACTGGCACATAACACACTGTCCCCTCACCGATTCCTGTGGCACACTTTAACATGAAGTACTTTAAAAATGCTAAGCCAAACCATCGTTTCATGTTTCAGTTCCTCGTAAGCATCCCTGCTTCCCTGTTTGTTCCTGGATATGTATGTTAGCATCGCTGCTGTGTTAACTTTTCCATTTTAGGATGGTATTATGGAAGATAATGTGTTAAAGGACACAACGCTGCCATTTTCCCTCCCCTGAGTGATAACAAGCAATTCTCAGAGATCAGGCTGAACTTCCCAGAGCAAGGAGAAACCCTGCACAGAGATTTGGGCAGTATTGACCCAAAGACCATAGAACTATTTGAATTTTAAGGATGTGCAATAATGTGCATCTACAGAAAGAGAGCTAAGAAATCCTGTGTATTTTGTGTTAAATTATGGATTTGATGAAGACAGAAGGCATCCCTTAGCTGCCCAATCATCCATTTTTGTGTGTTTTACCTTTAAGAGGATTTCTGGTTGCTCTCACAAAGCCGGTGTTCATTCTCTGCCAAGGGAGTCTGAACATGTTGAAAGTGGTAGAAATGTTTCTGAATATTATAGTGGCCTGTTAAAGATCCACCTACCTACCTTTAAAACATAATGACAATTCCTGTGGTCAGCAGGCACAGCATATCATGTCCAGATTCCTTTTTTTTTTTTTTTTTTTTCCCACAAATGTAGGCTCCTTGGGCAAATAATGAGCAGAATTTGTTCTGAGATAGTAGAATGGATTGTAGAACCAGAAGCTTAAATTTTCTATTCTTGGTCTGAGTGAAATTAAAGTGAATTAAATATTAAAAGACTATAAAGAGAAACAAAAATCAAAGCAGACTGAAGGTGGATTTCTGAACAGTGCCGAGTGGCAGTGCCCTGTGGTGATTTCTGGCTTAGTGGGGATCACTGGGACACAGGCTGTTGTCACCTTCATGCAGTGATATCCCAGAGGCCCAAATCTGGACGCAACCCCTTGCATGGGCTCTGCTCACACAGTATGGTCCTTCTTGGCATGATCTCCTTTGGTTTGTCAGCCTGCCCTCCCCAGGTTTCCATGCTCCCCACCTTTCTCCCCTTTCCCATTCCACTCTGTCTTCCTGTGTGGTGTGAAATCGAGCGTTTTTTAACCCAATTCCTCTTACCAACCTGCCAACCTCTCCTTCTTTTGCAGGCTGCTTCTGAGCCATCCCCTGCAGGGCGAACGGAGGCCACTGCCGGGAGCAGCGAGCAGAGCACCGAGCCGACCCGACACGTCTTCTCCTTCTCCTGGCTGAATTCCCTGACCGAGTGAGGACCTGGAGGGACCACCTGGGGCCAGTGCAGGAGCGGGTCCAGGAGGGGACACCTGAGCAGGTCATGCTCCCAGAAGCCCAATGACCTCCATCCACGTCATACCCAGCCCTGGAGACAGCAGTGTCCTGGAAGGGATGGGAGCGTGGGGACAAATGGCTGTACTTCTCTATGTAGTCAAAGTGTTTTCCAATAATTTCTTGTTTTCGAGGGAAAAATGGCATTGCTACAGATGCAGGACAAGTACTCTTCACGTTTTGTCATTCGTCTGCTTTTTGATGTGTCCCTGTGTGAGTGTAGCTGCTCCCCAGTGCCTCTGGCAGATGCTGCTGCAGCGCTCACCAACAGCACCCTGCACCCAGCAACGCTGGGGACACCCCTGCAGCACCCCCAAGAGAGGGGTGATGTTTGTCACCTTCCTGCTGTCACCCGCGGCCCCCATGGCATCCCATACTGGGGGAGGGGGAGGGAAACTGCCCCTTCTTCTTTCTCCCTTTGCATCTACTTTCCCGAAGGGCCGTACTCACCTGGGCAGGGGGTGGGGGAGAGGGGGCACGGCAGGAGGGGTGGAGACAGACAAACCCCATCAGCATGGGGCAGATGTTGGGGTTACAGCAGAAGTTGAACCTTTGAGGTGATTCTTCTGACAAAATTCCTGTCTGAAAAGGAGTGCTCCTAGCGCACTGAAGGTGACAGAGTGCTTGAGGGAGACGGGAGAAGCGCTCGGTACCTGAGCCGAGCCCTGAGCTGGGGTCGTGGGCACGGGGCTGTGCGGGAGCGGCCTCACTGCGAGTCTCAGCCCCGATCGGTGCTTATTGTCTCCAGAAAACGCTCCTGCGGGGGAACTTTCTGGGGGATGAGGGCTGCGCAGAGCTTTGGGGCTGACAGAGAGCGGAGCGTTGCTCCCACCTCCCATCGCCGCGTCCGTCCAGGAGAAGGATCGGCTCCGGGATGGCGGTCCCGGTCGTGTCCCCGCGGCCCCGGCAGCCCTCAGCGAGCGGCCGAGCGGAGCGCAGCGCCGTGCCACCCCCGGGCGGGGAGGGCGGGGCGGGCGGCCCACGGTGCCAGGCAAGAAAGCGTGTCCAGCCATCGTTCCTTTGCAGCTTTTATTAAAAATATAAATATTAAACATTCTCTTACACAACAAAATCGACCGAGCGCTGAAAAGATGTTTTATTGTGAAAATGTCGTACAGGGTAAAAGTGAACTCGAAGTAGCGGACAGAGGTTCCCCTCCCGCCTCCCTCCCCGGCACGGCGCTCCCCGTGCTCCCCGCCGCCCCCGGCCGTCCCTGCGGAGCCCTCTCGCTATGGGAAATGGAGAAATAAATAAGGGTCGGGGGGGGGGGGGGCCCGGCGGCACCGCGCGTCCGCGCATGCTGAGGGGGGGCGGCGGCTCGGAGCGCGCCCTTCGGGGTTCGAAGCTCTATAAAAATAAAGAGATGACATCAGAGCAGCACTATGGTACGTCGGGCGGTGTGATGGCTCTGGTGCTGACCGCGGGGTCCCTTTGGCAAGGCGCGGGGGGGGGCCGCCTCACTTCCCGATGATTTCCATCAGTTTCCTGTTGCTGTGGGCTTGCTGCGCCAGCTGCTCGGCGCGGGCCATCTCCAGCACCTCCCGCAGCAGGTGGAAAGTCAGGTCCAGGGAGATGGGCGGCTCCTCGGAGCGCTTCTCTCTCTCCACCGCCTCCTCCGCTCCTTCATCCCCCTCGGGGCTCCCCGACCGCTGCAGCTGCGCCGCGGCCGCCCGCAACAACTCGGCAGAGGCTTCGGGCCGGAGGTGGCCGCCGGAGGAGGCGGAGAAAGGGCCGGCGGGGCGCTTGGTGAGGTGGCCCAGGCGCAGGAAGTACTCCTCTCCCATGCGGAGCAGGACGGGCAGAGTTTGCTGCTGCTGCTGCTGCTGCTGCTGCGGGTAGAAATCGGGCTGCTGCAGAGCCCCGCGGGCGGCTCCCGGGCTCTTGCTGAGCGCTCGGCACTCGTGGCAGGGCAGCAGGGCGAGCAGCAGGATCCCCGCGCACACCAGCGGCTGGAGCTTCATGGTCGGGGCCGGACCTGCAGCGGGGCGAACGGGTGGGGGACACGCGCGGGTCACACGGCCGGGCTCAGGCGGGGGGCGCGCAGCGCGGCCGCTGTCCCGGTGCTGAAACGCGGCCCCGGCGCACCCCGAGCCCCTCCGCGCCCCTCCGCGCCCGCCCGCCGCCACCCGGCCCGCCCGGCCCCCGCCGTCGGGGCGAGCGCGGCCCCGCTCCTACCTGGGGCGGCGGCGGCGGCAGGCGGCGGGGCTCGGCGGGTGCCCGGCGGTGCCCGGCGGTGCCCGGCTGTGCCCGGTGTCCTTCCTCTGGCTCTGCCTCGGAGCCTCCTCCCGGCGAACTTGTGATCAGATTTGGTCCTAATCAGAGCCGGGGCGCGGGATTTTTATAGCTTAGACCCTCTCCTGGAATCACGCAGAACTTGCCTAATAAGCTGACGCTCTCCTGACAGCCCGATTGCGTGCCCCGATCCACTGCTGAATAAATCATGGGGGCCCGTCGGAGCGGCGATGGGCCGAGTTTCGCTATCGCAACCCCAAATCTCACGTCCAATTATATCAACAGATATTTATCGCCTCTGCGGTGACGTCAGCGGGGCCGGGGGCCGGGGAGCCGCGG